CCTTTTTCACATCTGTGTGCCAAGATAAGTAAGCGTGCCTGTGTTTCTGATTGCTTGAATCGCTCAAGTTTCACATGAAAACTTTTTCAAACACAAGCTCTGCTATTCAAATCCATTGTTTTATTTTGATCACAATATCAAAGACTGAAAGTATTTGATATCAGTCCTGGTCACCTGCCGTGTCCTGAAAGCTTATGTTGACTGTACATTTTTTATTTCTTTGATTTAAAAGTAAAATTGAACACAACAAACATAGTATTGAGTACCATACAAAGCAGGATTATGAACTTTGTATGTCGTGTGCTTTATTGGGCCTTTCTCTCTTTGTAAAAATAAAGCAATTGCAAGCCAGGAAGTTCCAAAGATAGAGCCAAGCTTGAACCCAACAAGAGAGTTGGCTTGGATCTCTGCAACAAGTCCAAGCCAAGCCAATAGACCTGACTGTATTCGTTTACAGACAGAAAAAATCATAGAAGGGTATACACCAGGTTTTGTGGCAGGAAATAATCCCACAGTGTTCTTCTTTGCTTGTCTCTTTTCTATTTGAAGATAGAGCTAAACCAGGTCTTGGGGCAAGCTATAACTCTCTTGTTGTTCATCCTCTGTTTAAGAGCAGAACATAAAGACCACTTTTACTCTAACTGTACAGTTATAGAGGATTAATGAGTCTCCCACATATTTTTCTGCTTTCTTCACTCTGTGCTGCTGTCCAAACTTTGTCCTGTATGAAAAGTTTGCCCAGATCACAAAGAGGGCCTGAGTGCTGCTCAGTTTTCCTGAGATTTTAAAATCAAAGCGAAGGACTTCCAATATTTTACTCTTTTTTCTAATCTTCCATAATATATTAATAAAGCAGTAAAATAGCAGTTACAAGCTTGAACTTTCAACCTTCACTTTCGAAAAGGAAGAATGAGATCTGGATTGTTGCTCTTTGATACATATCTTTCTAGAGCCAGATTTGACCCCAATCCTTTTTTTCTCTTAAACCATAATCCATTGAACCTTTTGTAACAGGAAAACTACTACCTTATACTTAGGAACCAGAACTTTTTGCTGGAGCTTGACCCTTTACTTTTGGGCTGCATCACACTCAAATACAAAGTGAATTAACTGAAAATTTGCTCACATGGTACGAAGCAAATTAGATGATGATCTGTGGCTAAGGCCATGGCTTGTATGTGTGGATAGCTCACTAGAAGAAACATTTGAACTGGTGTTATACAAGGTTATTCAACATTCAAACAAAAATGGTCATAACCACATTGCAACAGTGAATGAGAGGCCAGAACAGTGAACCTGGGTTTAAGGCAGGGGCTCACAAATGACAGCTTTATAGCCAAGATAGTGACAGTTTCCTTTGAGATGAGACTTGAAAGCTTGTTTTTAAGACAGATTTTATTTTAGATCCTAATATTAATGAATGATACTTTAATGTCATAGAGTGACTTGCAGCTCCATGTCTCTCATATTGAAAGCAGTAACAAACTGCCCTATTTATTAGAGCAGGAAAGTGTTTCTGAATGAAAGTGTAGAAAAAATTTGAGAAACAGAGGTGATTATTTAAACCTAGGGGGAGATATTTTCCCTCAACAGCAATAAGACTTTCCTTGATGAGCAGATAAGAAGTCTGTAAATGAGGTTGTCGTTAATGACACTCTGATAGAATGAAGTAGTTTGAGGCAGAGAATACAGACATCTTAAAGGATGTTGTCTAGTTACATGGTTGTGTATACTTCAAAATCCTTTCCTAACAAGACTATAAACATTTATGATTCTTCATTAAACAAAATGTTACAGTCCCCAAGCAAAGGGCATAACAAGCATTCAGTTCATCTGGTATTTTATCAGGCATCATCAAGGAGCAGATTTCATTACATCAGCAAGGTGGAGGACTAAGGGGCCTTAATACTCTGAGGCAGTCATTTGCTTTTTTCTGTCTCAGTTCTCATCATGTTCAACGTTTTTCTTAAAGCTTAGCTTGTACATTTCAATAATGATGTGAGAAATTCAGGTTGCTTCTAAAAAAACCCCAGTGAATCTCTAGCCTTATGTGAATCTCATAAACTCATGATTATTTTGCCTGAAGACTCATGATTTTGAAGCTCTTGCTCTCTTGAGAACCTATCTCGTGTTTTTCAGCTAAACGGTGGCAATAAAGTATATGTGGGAAAGAGAAGACTCTTGTTCTCATCAATAAGGGACTTTAAGTGGTATGAGTGGTCTTTGTTTTTTATATCTGGTATACTGGCTTTGGTGTTAGGTTTATATGTCTTACAAATACCCTGAAGGATTAAAAAAGGGACTTTTTTAAGGCCTTTTCAGTAAAATAATAGTTAAGTCCCTAATTATGTGAGTTACGAAATTTTAGGTTAAATAAATGCAAATATGTATCAAATTTTTCTGATTCTTGTTGCCATGATTTAAGTCACTGAGGCAAAAAAACCCCAAAAACAAGTGAGGAGAGCTTAAATAAAAAAACAAATCATGTAGGTCTTTTTTCTTTCTCTTCAAACAAAGAGGAAAATATGGCTGGGAGAGCG